AGTGATAATGTCAAATAATGTATTTTGTTTGCTGAGTTGTTGCTGAGTTGTATGCCTGTCAGTGTTGAGTCCATAGGCGAAAGTTTGTCCATTAGGTTCCATTATAATGTATTGTTCAGTACTAATTGTGATAGATCCTTCACAGTTTTGTTCTTTTAGTGACTGGGCTATGGTGTTAATAGCTTCCAGTACTTCTCCAGAAAGATATGAGAATAAATCGGCCATTTTCCGTTGTTTTATTCCGCGATAATTGTAAATTTCGTTCTTTTTATAACCATGTTTTTCGTGTCTCAAATGATCAGCGAATTTCTACGTGTGTCGTAACACGTGTACAAAAAAAATGTTAATCGAACTTCTCATCAGATTTTTACGTGTCTTACCACGCAATGTCCAAAATAATATATTTGTGTAATAATTCATTTTATTATTTTTTTATTTTTATTATTATTATTTTTAATTATTATTTTTGTGTCGTCTATATTATATGGTTCTATTACAACCATTGGTTTAAAAATGTCCTTTCGTTCATAATACTTCTTCATTTGTTGTCCATTGATCGCATGTCGGAGTACGTCTCCTTGTTGGTTTCGCAGTTTGTAGGTATTGTTGTGGTTGTCGTCGTGTATGTAATACCAATCTTGTTTCCATTGTGGGCGGAATTTGTCACCATGGACGGCGTTTTGTTTCATATCGAAGACGAGGACTTTATCGCCGATTTCAAAAGTATCCTTTTTACTTATTTTTGTATCATGTCGTTTTTTAGTCTGTTGCTGTCGCTTTTCCGAGTTTCGTTTTGCCTGTTGGAGGGAATTTGGCAATTGATCGATTAGAGTGTATATCCTTTGTAATATGGTTTCTTCATTTATTTCAACTATTTCTGAGTCGTCAATCGGTAATCTGGCGTCTCGTCCATACACTAGGAAAAAGGGTTGGTGTCGGGTGGTCGAGTTCCGGAGAGTTCGATATGCAAATAAGGCGGCTGGAATATATTGATCCCAATCGCTTTCTAAAGCAATGCAATACTTGCGCAATACTCCACCTAGTGTCCGATTAAATCGTTCGACTATTCCGTTTGTTTGGGGGTGGTAAGGGGTAGAGAATTTGTGTTTGATTCCAAATTGGGTGGTTAGTTCTTTAATTATCTCGGCGGTGAATTCGGTTCCGTTATCAGATTGGATCTCCTTAGGGCATCCATGTCTACAAATGATTTCTTCAAAGATGAACTTCGCTACGGTCGAAGCTTCTTTGTTTGGGATGGCTCTTGCTTCAGGCCACCTAGTCATGTAGTCAATAACAGTGATGATATAACGATTGTTATTCTGAGTTATTTTGCATGGTCCTACAAGGTCAATTACGATCCTTTCGAATGGTTGGCCTATTTTTATTGGATGGAGGGGTTGTTTGGTAATTCGTCCTCCTGTTAGTTGACAAGTCGGGCAAGACTTTACGAAGTTTTTGATATGTGTTCCCATTCCATTCCACCAGTATTTTGCGGCGATTCGATGATAAGTTCCTTCGAATCCAAAGTGTCCTGACAGTATGTCTCCATGCATGTAAGCGATTATGGCTTCCGTTTCGTTTATTCTGAGTACTTTGAGTGGGTTGTTGGGTTCTTTCTTTCGATTAATTTTGTATAATTGTTCATTGATTATAATAAAGTGTTTTGATTTTTGTTTCAATTGTTCTTTTTGTTTTGTAGAGTATCCTACAGGATACAGTTGAGAATCCAAATAATTATATAATTCCGCGTAAGTATTTAAGTCCATTATGTTGTTTATCGGTTTCGAGAGGTTTTTATTGGTTTAAGCGGGAGAGGGTGTCAGCGTTTTGATGATTTTTTCCAGATCGATAGGTAACAATGAATTTATATTCCATTAGGTCCATTATCCAGCGGGCGATTCGAGGTCCAGGATTTGTTTGTTTATGAAAAAGCCAACGAAGAGCATTATGATCGGTGACGATCTCAAAGAGAGGTCCTATAAGATAGTGTCGGAACTGTCGTACGGCCCATACAACGGCCAAAGCTTCCTTTTCGGTGGTACTATATCGTTTCTCAGCAGGTTTAAGAGATACGCTTGCGTAAGATACGACACGTTCCTTCCCTTCGTTGTCTTTCTGGGCTAGTACAGCGCCTAACCCAACATCGGATGCATCGGTGTAGAGGTAGAATTTTTTTGTAAAATCGGGATAAATTAAGATCGGGGCGGTGGTGAGTCGTTGTTTGAGCTCGTCGAAGGCTCGTTCTTGTTCTATGGTCCAGATAAAAGTAATGTCGTTTTTTAATAGTTTAAATAAGGGAGCGGCGACCTGTGAAAATCCTTTAACGAATTTCCTGTAATATCCAGCGAGTCCTAGAAACGACCGGAGTTGTTTAACCGTACGCGGCTGAGTGAAGTTCTTCACTTTGTCAACGGTAGTAGGATCGGGTGAGATTCCATTTTCGTTGATAATATGCCCGAGAAAAGGTAACTCACTTCTGACAAAATTACATTTCTCTCGATTTAATTTTAATCCAGCGTTTCTAATCTTTTGTAGGATCCTTCGCAAATGATCCAAATGTTCTTCGAAGGTCAAGGAGTAGACGTTAATGTCGTCGATATATACCATCGCGTGTTTCCAGTTATTCTCGGCGAGCATGGCGTCCATGGCGCGTTGGAAGGTAGCGGGGCCATTACATAATCCGAATGGCATTACATTAAATTCGAATAACCCTTCTCGTGATATGAAAGCGGTTTTTGCCTTGCTCGATTCTTCCATGGGAATTTGCCAGTATCCAGATGAGAGATCCATCGAGGAGAACCATTTAGCGTTTTCAAGACTGTCAAGCATTTCGTCGATTCGTGGGAGAGGATAAGCGTCTTTACGAGTTACTTCGTTTAACTTCCGATAGTCGACACAGAACCGTTTCTTTCCGTTTTTTCTGGTGGCTATGACAATCGGAGAAGCCCAGGGGCTATTGGATCGCCTTATTATTCCAGCGTCGATCATCCTTTTAATCTCTTCATGAATGAATTCTTGATCGGGTATGGTTGCTCGATACATTCGTTGGCGGATGGGAGCGGCTCCCTCGGTTTCGATTCTATGTTGAACCAAATTCGTTCCTTCGAGTTGTTTGAGATCATCGGTAAAGATATCTTGGAATTGATCGAGTAAGTTTTTCAATTGTTCGTCTTGTTCTTTGGTTAATGTTCGTTGTTTCACTGGTAATACTTCTTCATTTTTGTCTATGAAGTACGCTTCCAAGGTTTGTTGATCAGTAGAACCGAAACCTTCAGTTCCTCGAATGCTTTTTCCCAAATCGCCTCGATTATCAACTTGTTGTAACACTTCAATTGGCGCCAGTTGGAGAAAAACTGCTTGTGCGATTCGGTCATTCGGTTTAATGATATAAGCCTGATCTGAGTTATTGGCCAAAATTACTCCAATATTTCCCGTATATCCGGCGTCGATAACACCTCCTCTAACTTCGATTCCTTTCTTGGCCAAGGAAGAGCGGGACATTAGTTGACACATTGTTCCCTCCGGTACTTCCATGGCGATGTATAAATCGATGACTATAGTCTGATGTGGTTCCAGCTTGAGTTCCAGCTGTCCAGGATAATAGAGATCGAACCCGGCGTCAGTTGAATGGGCTCGTTGAGGTACGGTTCCTTTTTTACTGTCGTTATAGACTTTGATAGCGTAGTTCATGGTTTTTATTTCCCGGGTGTCATTTTCCTCTTTGTTACCCGAATAATATTCTAAAATTTCTTCATAGGTATTGTAGGTACTATCGGTATCGGAGTCGAACTCCATCGTCTGCACTTCTTTTTCGGCTTCCCGCAAATAATCGAAGAGTTCAGAGAAAGTTTTTTGGATTTCTTGAATCTCTAGCGGCGGCGTTGAACGACTTGGTTTTTCGCCCGAGATTTTGAACAGCCCGTTGATCGTTTCCATTTGTCTTTGTTGATAAGTGTCCTTGAGCTCGTTGATTAGTGTTCTAGTTTGAGCTTCGATCTGCTCCAATTCGTCGATTTCTAATTTTTCTTCTTTTATCCTTGGTTCTAGAGCGGATTCCGAAAGATCCTCGGCTCTTCTTTTTCCTTTGTCTACTTTTACGGTGGTCTCTCTTTCCTTGAATCCTGATCGTTCACAATCAGTACATAAGTCATCATCACATGGTATCAGACACTCTTTACATAATTTGACATTAATGTAGTCTAATTTTGCCAATTGTATTCTTCGTTCCGGGGTTAATTGTTGATAGATGGAGTGAAATATTTCAGCTGCCGTGGCTTCTTCGGATCCATCATATTCGATAAAGCCTCTTTCGTTGACAACGTCGTCTTCATCAATATATCGGGCAAGGATCGCTCTTCCAATTTCATTACATTCGTCGTAGACGTCCAACAGACTTCCTTGTTCACGAAGTTTCCGAATCGTTCCTGTATTCTTCCGCCATCCACCTCGATTAAACCAGTAGATGCATTGATGATTGTAATTACAGAAGTACCGTCGGTCGTAACTTCCAGTAATATACATGTGTCTTGCTTCGTCGCGAAAATTACAAATGGCGCAGGCTGGTAGATTTAGTCTCTTCTCTTTGTGACATTGGTCGCATGCCGTCTTCTTTTCCTGATCTTTCGTGAAATATGCGTTGGAATTATATCGGTCCATATATTGACAGCATTCATCGCATTGTTCGATTTGTTCGGTTGGAGTTATCCTCTGTTCAGCTTCTTCCCGGGTGATGAATTTTTCCTTGGTTCGTTGTGAGACGAATATCTCGCGTTCGACTTCTGCAGCCCAATCACCACTGGTCTTATATTCCGCTCGATAAGGCATGTAGAATTTCATGGCGACCCAGTCTACCAAGTCGTCATAACATTGCCGGCACTTCTGCTGTTTAGTGTAAAGACGCTTAAGGCACCAGCATTGTCGATTGGGACCTTTCCAATCAAACGACCATCGCTGGCTTCGGACGCATTCTTGCCGGAATTTAGCATCCATCCGTTGGTAATCCTCCCAGGTATATTTTCGCCACTGGACTTTCATTCCTTCCTGAAAGACTTGGACGTCATAAACCTGTTTCACACTTCGGACGATATTCAAGGGTACACCCTCGAAGTCGACGTATTTTATTTCTCTTCTTATGGTATTGATCGGGTTCCATTTTTCTTCCAAGGTTATTTCCATGCTCTCTTGATTAAACTGTACTTTCTTCTTCTTAGGTAGTACGGTGGTCCAGTCGTCTTCTCCTTTAATCCACATAAGATAAGACTGCGGCTCCAAGTCCTGTTCCTCGATCTCGTCTTCTTCGTCGTCGGTAGTTTCCTCGTCAGAAGAATCGGTCTCATCTTCCGAGTTTTCATCATTGTTAATCGGAGTTTTTTGACCATGAATGAACTTGAGGGAAACTTTTCCTTTTTGATCGTCCCAATCAAAGGTAAGCAAGCCTCGTTTAATGTCAATGTTGGCGTTTATCTTACTAAGAAAATCCATTCCTACTACAATTGCATAGGTCCTAGCTTCGGTAACATCGACTTCGACGGGAATTACGATTCCGTCAATGGTCAGCTGTAAATCATCGATGGCTCCCAGAGGTTGTTTAGAATTTCCGTTAATGTCGGTCATGGATACATTGGATCTTCGTTGGATCTTCAGTCCTAGACTCTGTAGAAAATGGTGGCTGGCTACACATCCGGAGGCACCGGTATCGACGATTAAGTCGATTATGGATTTTCCGACTCGCGCTTCGCACCATGCTGAGGTTGTTTTAAGCTTTTGTCCAAACATTCCAAGCTTCCGTTTGGTGGGTCGTTTACTCACCGGTTTTCTCATTCCTTTGGACATTTTAATTCTTTGAGCGGGAGATGTCTCTATAAGTTGGGCGATGGTAATGTTGGCTTTCATATTAGTCAAGTCGTCTACGATATCATATGGTAGGGCACGGGAGGCAAGGACAGGTAAGATGGCTCTTCCTTTCTTCTTTCGTTTTATCTTTTCTTTTTCTTCAGGTAGTTCTTCTTCATTAATCTGACTTGCATCCATAGATCCACCGGCTTCGTTGATACGAGTCCTCTTTCGCTCTCCGGCCAAATATTCGTGTTCTGCTAAAAGGGCTGTTGAACGGGAAGTATTATCTTCTTCTTTTTTTTGGATTGCTTTGGTTAATTCTTGTATCTGAACTAACAATGCTTTTTCTACATTTTTATGATCGCCTGTTTGTCCATTGTTTGACGATCGATTTTCCAAACTCGGACGGCCATTGTTTTGTTGATTGGGGATTCCATTATTTCGGCTACGCCAATTATTTCGATTATTATTATTACTTCCATTGTTATTCCAACGATTGTCGGGCTGAGGAGGTTTGGGGCAGTTAGATCGAATGTGTCCTGGCTCTCCGCAATTATAACAGTTAAAGTTGCTATTATAATTCGGTCGATTCCAAGTTGAGCGTTGATTACTTCCATCAAACGGAGGTCGATGCATCGTTTCCACTTGTTCCAGTCTACGAGCCAGTCCTTGTAGAACGGTGGTGATGTCGTTAAGACTGCTGTTTGTGTTTGCTTGGGTTTGGTGATATCCTCGAGTAGTGGTGTCGGTATCCGCTCTTTCTACATTCTTTGCTACCTCTATCATATTTGCCAAGGTTCCGTCGGCGGTTACTTGTACCCATTTTCTTATGTCCGGTTTGAGTCCACGTCGATATGTCCGAGTTCTGTAATCGTCGGGGTAATCATTGCTTGGGTCAACTTTGCGTAGGAGTTCATTGAATTTGTCGGTGTACGCATCGACTGTTCCGTCTTGTTGCAACGTTTCCAATTCGTCCTGCCACTGGTCCACTCGTTTCTGGGTTCGAAACTTTCGAGCAAAATGGTGTTTGAAGTCATGGGCGTCGTGATGGTTATTCGTCCATTCGTTCAATATTGTTGCATCATCACGAGTCCGTTCATCGAACCATGTTGCGGCGGATCCTTCCAAATATCCCCGGACGATCTGGATCTTCCTTTCGTTCGTGATTCCATTCGCCCTAGCAGCTACTTCAAAGTCTCTTAGCCACTCGACCGGGTCTTGATCGTTACCTTTGTACTTCCGGATGGGGATGATAATTTTCTCGGTCGCTCGGTTGTTCTGTACCGTTAGGGCTGCTGTAAGTCGTTCCACGGCGTCCAATACATTCTGTGCGTTTGCCATTGGTCTTTCAGGTGTTGGAGTTCTTGGAGTTGGTATTCGAGTTTGATATTGTGGTGGTGGAGTTTCTCCTTCTTCGATGAAGTCGTTGTTAATTAAATCTTCCTCGTCGTCTATCGAATATCGTGTTTCCGAATAATATTCGTCGGAATTATTCTCAACCTCTTCGATTTCGATGTCCGGGCTTGTACGCTCGAAATTCCGCGTATCTCTGAATGCGTTTAGTGTATTGACTACTAAACGTGTCTGATCTTCGATTAACAATGGTTCCCGGAATAGTAGTGTATTTAGCAGTCGTACGATTCTTTGACGGATTCGGTTGGGATGTATTTCGTCTTGATCACGTGTCACGAGTTCGTTGAAGAATTGGTTTGTAAGTCCGGTGTAGCTGATGGCGCTGTGGGTTGCTGTCCAAACTACAAATCTGTAGAAGGCCCAAGAGTATTCTTCAGGTGGTGGGTAGCAGTGACCACAGTAAGGTTGATGTACTATTGGTACTTGATCTTGGCTGTGTTGTCCAAAGTGACCGTTAACTAGAGTTCCAGTAAAGGTATAATATTCGTTCATACAAAGGGGATGAATCGAGAAGGGGAAATTAATTCAAAGTTTTTTTTTTTTTTTTTTGAAAATTCCACAGAGGGGGCACCAAAATGTTGCGCCTGCTCTTTAATTATTGTAATTAGAGAATAGGTCAACAATACAAATGTTGAACAAAGACTGAATGATTTACAATTAAAGTGTATTCTTTAAAGGTTCTAAAGGTCTCCTGTGCCAATCTTTGCGAAGATTGTGATTGATACAATTAAAGGTAAAGGGTTTAATAAAATATAACTAAATAACTTTAACAAAATACTAATCAAAATACTAATCAGAAATATAATTTAATTCAACAAAAAAAATATAACAGGACTTATTACAAATGCCTAAATCAAAAATGAAAATGCGCTTAAAACAAATACAACAGGACTTATTGAGACTGCCTAATAAAAATAACAAAATCAAAGTGTATGGCTTTTTTAGAGTAGAGGGCTTCTACTACTTGAAATGCAAGATTTGAAGTTAATCAAGTGAAAAGATTTGTTAACAAGTAAGTAATTTACAAGTTGGCACTTTTATTGATTAGAGCATAAGTTCTTTTTACTGAAGAGAACTCTCTTTTTTATATACAAATTCAAGGGCTACACTAATTACATGTTTGGCGTTACTACAAGTGTTAAATCAGTGTTAAATTGATATAATTATTAAGTTGTGATCTGGTGCAGGTGTTAAAAAGGTGTTAAATTATAAAGGGGATAAGTGTTACATGTTAAATGGATGTTAAATTATACAAAAAGAATGAAAATAATGTTAAACAAAATGTGAAAAAGATGTTAATTTTTACGTGTAATATTAAATTGATGTTAAAATTATGTAATAAAATAAATATTATAAATTATAGTAATGATATTCATGCTAATATTATGTTAAAAATTATGAAATTAAGGAATTTATTGTTGCTACGGCAACAATACCTAAATCAACATATAATGTCATCAATATAACAATTGAAACTGATCTTATAGTTCAACAACAAGATCAATTGCAACAATTACTTAATGAATATGCTAACTTGTTTGATACTGAAATATCTGGTCACACTGATATTATACAACATAAAATTCATTTTGAAGAAACTCGCTCCATCACACTCAAACTATACACTAGAAAGTCATCCATTGAAAATAAATTTCTAGAAGAAGAGATTTAGAAGATGTTAGAACAAGATATAATCTCACCATCAGAAAGTTCATGGTCAGCTCCAGTTGTCATTGTTAAGAAGAAAAATGGAAAATATCGTTTATGCATTGATTACTAACAATTGAATAATGTCACTAAAAAGATAGATATCTATTACCTCGCATTGATGAACTTTTAGATGTATTTCAAAGTGCCAAATATTTCTCAACTATTGATCTTGCTGCTGGCTACTGACAAGTAGAAATGAAACCAGAAGACAGAGCAAAAACTGCATTTATCACCAAACAAGGTCTATTTGAATTTAATGTCATGCCATTTGGTTTAACAAATGCACCTGCTACCTTTCAATGACTAATGAATACTGTATTTAGAGAATATATTAATAAGTTTATAGTTGTTTATTTGGATAATATAACTGTATACTCTTTTACCTTTGAACAACATCTCCAACATCTTTGAAAAACTTTGGATAAAATTCGCATTGCTGAATTGAAAATACAACCAAAAAAATGTCATTTTGGAAAAACATCACTACCTTTTCTTGGTTATATTATTGGAAAGAATAGAATCAAACCTGATCCAGCCAAAATTGAAAAAGTTCAAAGCTTTTCAGTACCCACTAATTTAACTACACTCAGAGGTTTTGTTGGACTCGCTTCATATTATCATCACTTTATAAAAAACTTTGCCAAAATAGCATCACCTCTTCATCAACTATTTCACAAAGACAAATCTTTTATTTGGACTAATAAATAACAAAAAGTCTTTGAAGAATTAAAACAACATCTAACAACTGTATCAATATTGACATACTCAAATTTTGATAAACTATTTACTAATGCTTCAAAAATTGGACTTGAAGCTGTTCTATTACAAAAAGATAAGAATAATTTAGAAAAAGTAATTACTTATGCAAGCAGAAGAGTCTCACAAGCTGAAAGCAAATATTCAATAACTGAATTAGAATGTCTCACTGTCTATTGAACAATCAAACTCTTTTGTCCATATCTTCATTCTCATACATCATTTCAATTGATAACTGATCATGCTGCTTTAATCTAACTATTTAATAAACCTAATTCACCTGGAAGATTATCTTGCTGGATAATGGAACTTAGAATATAACTTTGAAACAATTCACAAAAAAAACAAAATCCATTTCAATATAGACCCATTTTCAAGAATATTATACACATTAGATAACAATAATCATCCAAAATAAATTTAAATGAATATGTTGAATTATACAATCATCTTGACTCACTCAAACTACTAGATAACCTCTCAATGGATCAAACCCAAAAATTTTTAGCCAAATCCAAATAATGCTTTATCGACAAAAATCACCTATATAAAAGAAACAAACTCAATTCAAATTAACCACAACAAGTTATCAAAGTTACTGAAATTGAAACTGTTCTATTTAATGAACATTCAATTGGATATTTTGGTATTGAAAATATATACCATCGCATATATCAAAAGTACTATTGGTTTCAGATATACAAAGATATTGATAATTATATCAAAGCATATGACATATGCCAATGCAAAGACAAAGCTAAAAAGAACAATAAATTGATATCAATACTAGTAACTCAATCATTTGAGAAAATTGGTATAGATCTCATTGGATCGCTTTCATTAATATACAATAATAATCATTATATTATTGTTGCTATTGATTATTTTATAAAATAGATAGAAGCAAGAGTCATATCTGATGCTGCCGCTGTAATTATAGTTTTATTTTTATATGAAGATATTATATATAAACATGGATATCCAAAGGAAATTATTTCTGATAGAGACACAACATTTGTTAATGATTTAATTGCAGAACTTCTAGAAAGATATCAAGTAAAACATCAACTCTCAGCACCTTACCATTTACAAATAAATGATCTAGTAGAATGCTTGAATAGAACAATTTGTACAGTACTCGCAAAAATATATATAACTATACAAACAAGACTGGGATCACTATCTTCCAAATGTTTTATTTACATATAGAACAATAAGACAAAGTATTATCCAGTTTGAACTATTATATCTAACAAATGGTCAACAAACGAATACATCACTTAATATTTAATTAGAATTACCAAATGATCAAAAAGCAATATTAGAAGAACAAATAATTCAAAGAGCTTGTAAAATTATTGATCAACTAGAAGAAGATTGTGAATTAGCTCTACAAAATATTCAAAAAGTGCAATTGAAACAAAAAGAACATTATGACAAAAACAAAATCATTCAAGTATTTGAAATTAGAGATAAAGTTCTAATGAAATGAATGGAAACTCAACATTGACATTATGACAAATTTGGAGAAAAATGGAAAGAATCATTCTATATTCATGATAAATTTGACAAAGGAACTTACAAATTGCATATACTTGATGAAAAAATCTTAAAGAATTCACATAATAGTAATTATTTGAAGCTCTATATTGAATTGAATAAATTAGAGCCTATTATAATTATTTGAGTTTTTCACAGTAAAAAACTCTTAAGTAGAGAAGATTGTTACCATTTGATATTTTGATCACATGTAAAATATTATATGACATAATTTTGATAATTATTTATATTTTCTTTTATATTTTTCTATTTATAATTCTATTTTTAATTATTAATTTATCTAATTTACACATAATTTATCAAAAACATCAATCAATTCTTTTTAATATTACTTAATTTATTTTATTATAATATTATTGGATCTAAATCTATTTTATTTTAAATTAATTTCATTTAATATTAATTAATATAGCACTAATATCACTCTAATTTTAATTGTATCGCTTAGATTAAATTAGTATTATACTTATCATTTCTTGGTATTACACTTCTTCCAAATTTATCTTATAATTGTTTTTAAGTAACATCACTCATAATGTAGATCCATATTATATTTAAAACAGATGTAATTTAACATAGAATAACAAATATCTCAGTAATAATTTTGAAAGTAATAAAAGTATAAAAGTTAATTAATACTTCTAAATAATCTTTTGTTTATTATTATCTTTGATTTATTATTTACTTAACTTTGACTTACCCAACTAGTGGAAGTCATCTTTTGTATTTTTAATAAATTATTCACACTTTTAAATTATAAAATACTTACCCAATTAGTGGAAGTATTAGAATCTATTTCTTTTTAATACTCTCTCTCAATCATCTAGTATCCAACTCTCTCAAATACACATAGTCACTATTATTACTTTTATATAATTCTTAATTAATTATTATAATTAGTTAATATCTTGTCTATTAATATAAGAACAGTAACAATATAAGCTTTTATATTATAATATATTTAAAACCAATAATAATTATGTATTATTCTATTATATTGTTATTATTATAACATATTATATATTATTTAGCTATTTGTTAATATACTAGAGCAAAAAGATCAGTTAAATAATTATAATATTATTATCATAAAGAGCTTAATATTTATTTATGATAATAATATTTCTCTTATATGATAATAATATTTAACAAAAAATAATGATTATTATAAATCTAATTGGTTTTTATTAAGATATTTTAATTGGTTTTTTAATATAAATTAGATTTATATTATAATATATACTTAATATAAATTATTTTATTAAGATTTAGCATGTATTTTATTTTTATATTTTAATTGATTCTTTTCATATATTTGATATTATCTTGTGTTATATTAAGTTTAATTAGTTTTATTGTATAATAACAAAGGAGTACTAATAGTATTTTAGTATTTTAATATGTATTAATACCAGATTTAAATATATAATACTTGATAAATTATGTATTATTTGTAATATATAAGA